GGCCAGGGGATTTTTTTGTGGTCCACTCTATTTGGTGTTCTGTAGGCTTCTTGTACCTTCATTGGCATGTCTTTCTTAAGGTTGGGAAAGTTTTCTTCTATGATTTTGTTGAATATGCCTTCTGCCCCTTTGAGGTGGATTTCTTCTCCTTCTTCTATACCTATTATTCTTAGGTTTGGTCTTTTCATGGTGTCCGATATTTCCTGGATGTTTTGTGTTAAGGATTTGTTGGATTTAAGGTTTTCTTTGGTTGATAAATCCATTTCTCCTAGTGTATCTTCAACACTTGAGATTCTCTCTTCCATCTCTTCTATTCTGTTGGTAATGCTTGTATTGGTAGTGCCTGACTGTTTGTCCAGCTTTTCTATTTTCTGCCTTTCTTCAGATTGTGTTTTTTTAATGTCTCTATTTCAGTTTTCAACCCTTGCAGTGTTTGCATTGCTTCTTGCAATTTTCTGTTTATCTTTTCGTCTGTTTGTTGCCTTTTATGAATTTTTTTGGTTTGTTCTTTCTTCCATTTCTTGCATTTTTTGGTTTGCTTTTTGTTCCATTTCTCGCATTTTGTGCTTTGTTTCTTCTTCCATTTCCTGCCTTTTTGGTTTGTTTCTTCTTCCATTTTTTTTTCATTTTTTGCTTTGTTTTTTCTACCATTTCTTGCATTTTTTGCTTTGTTTCTTCTTCCATTTCCTGCCTTTTTTGGTATGTTTCTTCTTCCAATTCTTGCATTTTTTGCTTTGTTTTTTCTTTCATTTCTTGCATTTTTTGCTTCATTTCTTCTTCCATTTCCTGCCTTTTTTGGTTTGTTTTTTCTTCCATTTCTTGCATTTTTTGGTTTGTTTTTTTCTTCCATTTCTTTTAGGGATTTTCCTATATCCTCTTTTAGGACCTCTATCATTTTCATGAAAGTGCTTTTAAGGTTGTTCTCTTCTGCTTCATTCGCATTGGAATGTTGGGGTCTTGCTGGTGTGGAGTCTCTAGAATCTGGCGGTGTCATATTTGTTTTTCTGTTGCTGACTGTGTTTTTGTATTGTCTCTTTCCCATCTCTTCTTCTAGTGGGTGCAGAAAGAGCCCCTTACTGATCTGGGGACCAGAGTTCCCTTTTGGTGGGTGCTAGCAAGTCCAATAATCTGGTGGTTCTTCTATTCCTTGTCAAAATGCTGGTCCCGTGGGTGGAGAAGAAGAACAGGAATCTGGGGCTCTTAGCCTCCTACCTCGTCCCTTGGACCCTATGCTGGGTCCTGTTGTACCTGATCAGGAACAGCTACTCCCCTGGTCTCCCTGCCTCCTCTGGTTTCCTGGTCTCGTTGGTGGGAGAGAAGATCTGGAGTCTGGGATGCTTGGCTCCCGCCAGGATTGGGAGCTCTGTGCAGTTCCCAGGCGATCTGCAGGCACTGGAACACAGGCCGGGAAGCCGGCCTGTTTACCTGATCTATAGTTTCTATTCTTAAGCTATATTTTTCAAAAAGTTTCTATGAATCATTGTTAAATGCAAAGTAATTAGTTTTCTACTTCCTCTTGAGAAATTCAATATTGGATACATTATTCCTTAAAATTAGCCCAAGGTAGTAATACAGAAGAAAATTATGAGTAGATTTGTAATGGGGTGTGATAAAACACACGTATCATTTGGTTTATTTAATCATGAGATTATTATCACTTTATTTTGTAGATGAGAACCTTGAAATATACTGCAACTAAAGGTGAAAGGACATCAGGTGAATGAATAGACACTGATTCAGTTGTTCCATACATTCATTTAAATAAATGTTGTCACATATGTGTATTCATTGACACTCACATATATGTGAATACAACCAGTTTTGTTCCTTTAGTGTTCTTCAGCTGTATAGTATGTTTCAGGCTGACAGTTTGGGATAGGGTAACCTATCAAGAAGACTAGTCTCTTGAGAGGACTGACTCCATCTCTTCGCAGATTTTAATTGTCTGTAGTTCTTCATCTAGGGATGGGGCATGGTTAAATTTCTTCTGCAAACGTTGGTTTATCAGATGGTGTTGTCATTGTGTAGGCCTTGTTTAGCTGACCATGCTGTGAAGATTTCATGCCATATATGGAAGGCACTAACTTGTAGCAAATGTCCTGGTCTTCTGATTCTTACAATCTTTCTGCCCCCTCTTTTGCAATGTTCTCTGGACCTTAGGTGTGGGGGTTGTATTATAAATGAATTGCTTGGGGAGGGACACTCCAAGTTGTTCTCTTTATTTTGACTAGTTGTTAATTTTTGTGATGGTGTCCATCTGCTTCAAAAAGAAGCCTCTTGATGAGGAGTGAGAACTATACTGTAGTATGATTAATAAAAGCCCAGAGACAGATTTGGGGTTCAAACTGAAGATCAGAAAAGCAAAGCAGCCAAGCCACCAGAGTACTCTTACCTCTACCAAGGCTGGGGAAATTCTATCCTAAATGTGGCTGGAAACTAAGTCCCAAGACTAAATGCACACTCTGAGACCCTGCTCCTGTCTTATATATCTCCCTAATGCTGAGATTAAAGGTGTATACCACCACCGCCTGGTTTTATAGATAACTAGTATGGCTGCTGGGATTAAAGGTGTGTATTACCATTGCCTGGCCTTTATGGCTGTGGCTAGCTTTGCATTCTGATCTCCAGACAAGTTTTATTAGATCATAAACAGTGTGTCATCACACTGCACTTATCTGTAGATATAATACTAGGTATTTAGAGTACAGATGGAAATAATACTGGTTTAGAGAAGTGGTAGTAGTAAATTCCAGGGTCCATGAACTCACCAGGCATAGATACTTGCCTAGATTTAAAGTACCAGGCACGAATTTCTTCCTATTGAGTAAGCCCTTCTAATTAAGTGACTGTTGGTTATTACCAAGATGTTAAGTGCCATTATTGCACTCTTGAGTATGTCTTACCATGCTGGTCATAGCTGTGCTTTGTAGGATTGTTGATTTCTTTCCTCCCTTGACAGTTTGTATAGCACCTTTAGATGCTATGAGAGCTATGCCTCAGATGGAAACTTACAGGTTAATTCCAGTTTGATTCCTTCAAGTTTTGTTTCTGAGCATTTGGCATCTTTAGTAATAATGTCTTACCTTCAAGATCTGGAAGGCAGCCAAGGGCAATGGAAATAGTCTCTCTTGTTTTGGGAATCTCTTGGATGCTCAAGCCTTACCACTGAAAGGAGGATTTGCCCTGCCTGGCACTGGGTTTTTGTTAGATTTTTCATAGTTCTGGGGAGAACATTCTCACTATAAGTGACATAACATCATTTAAATTATGTATATATATACATACATGCACACATATATGTTATTACTTATGTATACTTAAGTGAACATTTTCAACCACCTTTAGTATCCTTTATAGTCTCTTCTCCCTCCCCTTTCTCAGTAGTATCTTTTCTTCTGCCTCCCATTTTTCTCATCCTCCTGCACAGAACTTATATCCTATTATACCCTTTTCATAAACCTCTCTAGAGCTCCTTCTTTGTCCTGAATCTATGTTCCCATTTTATTTTCCTGGTTTCTGTCGTCCCTCCTGGTTAGATACTCACATCTAAAGATTCAGAGCTAGCATTCACAAATATGAGGTGTTTGTCTTTCTGGGTGTGAGTTACTTCACTCAGTGTAATTTTTTCTAATTTCACCCTTTTACCTATGAATTTCACGATTTTATTTTTGTTACAGCTGGATAGAATTCCATTGTGTATATGCACCATATCTTCATTACCCATCTGTCTGCTGAAGGGCATTTAGATTGTGAACAGAGCACAAATAAACATAGCTGAGCAAGCACAGCTTGCTCACAATGAAGCTTTTGAAAAAACAGGATTGGAGAAAATGCACTTAATCATGAAAAGGCTATATGCAATAAGCCTATTGCCACCATCATCCTAAATGGAGAAAAATATTAATTTGCAAGTACTGACCTTGGTGGTACAGCCCTATAATACAAATTATTTTCAAGACTGAGGCAAGAAGATTACAAGTTCAAGGTTTGTCTTGGTTACAAAGTGAATTGAAGGCTGGGGTGGGTGACTTAGGAAGACTAAGAAAGTACAGAGATGGCATAGAAAGGGAAACTTGGTCTTAAGAGATGGTTTAATGAATAAAGGTGCATGCCATTAAACCCAATGACCTGATATTGATTCCTGAGACCCACAAGGTAGAAATAGAGAACTGACTCCTTCTATACTTTGTCTTCTGGCCTCTGCAATGTACTGTTGCATGTATGTGCTCCTCCCTGAAGTAAATAAAATGGGAAATAAATAAAAAAATAAGGAAAGAGCAGAGAGATTGTGACTTTTTTCTTAACTCTCTATAGTATACTTAGATCTGAATAAATTCATAAAATAGTTTTAGGAATTCAAGGTGAAACTTAAGTTTCTTATAATGAATTTAGTACTCTTTCCATGGTTTTGTGTGGAGCTGAAGTAGCCATTCCCCACTCTAAGGCAGTGGCTCTCCACTTAGTCACTTGTTTGGCTTCTTTGGAGCTGGAGGCAGGTGGTTTAGTGACTTAGCATTTTTCAACACCTGAATATATATACTATGGTTGGCTGTGCAGTTACTCATGCTTCCCCTTTAAACATGGAGAACAGTAGTTAAAATGCCTGGGACCTTGTGAACCATGGAGGTTAACAAACTTTCAGTAGAATAAAGTACACTAGCCCAAGGAGTAAGGACCACTATAGTATGAGAATGAGGAAGTCACCAGGAAGATAGGAAGCTTGGTTTCATCAGAGGGGTAAAATCTATTTTGAGATGCTTTGTCAAACCAGGACAAACCATGAGTATTGAAAAGTGGTTCTGGGATAAGGTGAGAGGCAGTTTCAATGATTCCTGTCTGTCAGTGACACAAGACTTTACTTTTTTTAAGTATAAAATGTAACAGTTAAAATTTTGTATCTGTGTATGTTTTGTTGAACCCCGAGAACTGCAAATCTGGAAGTCGAGTCTCCATTCTTTTAATGTTTCAAAATGACAGTAAGTTGACAACAAACAAGTAAGTTAAGCTTCCCTTTATTTTATTTTCTTACGTTTTGTAAACTTTAGGCCCTTTGAAGTTTATAGTATAAGGAGCAATAAGGCATCTTCAAAAAATATTCACATAGCCATTTAGTTTTGATTTGACTTCCAACACTATGATGAGTTTCTATTGTGAAGAAATTATTTCCCAAATAAAAGACAAAATTTTATACCCCAACAGCAAAGTAAATGTGAAGTATAAATAAAAATTATTCACACATATTGAGAGTTTGAACTCATCACAAAGATTTTACATGTACAAGGTCTGTGTGATATAGAAGGTCAATTATGGAATCCAACTAGGAAAGTTTTATAGTTAAGTTGTTTCTTAATAACATATTTTCCATAGTCCTCATGTTAAAATATAACAAGCTATCTGTGCTATGACTGCCAAATTTCTAAAAGATCATTAGTTGCCAGGATAGTAAAAAATGTTATAGTGTTTATATGCTGAAAGCTAGCTTCTTTCCCCTCTCTGTTCATTCCACTCTGCAAGTATGCTATAAATTGTGTTACAGTATTTGTGAGCTAATTCTGTTTGGAATGCATTTCCTTTGGGAACTAGAAATCAACTTATGTCTTGGTTTCTGTTTCATTTCTACTTTCATTCTCGTTTTGTATAGTTTTCTAAATTTAGGTTGACACTTGCAACATGCCCTCTTTAGTTTAAACTTTTGGGTAGCAATCAGGAACTTTGGGACTGAACAGTTTTTAGAAGTTTTTGGTACATTTCAGACTTTAAAAATCTGGGATAAGAATCCATTTCCATATGCATATACACAATCTTTTGAGCCTCTTCAAAGCACGTTTGAGTGGGTTCTCGAATGCTTTTGATGATAGCATCTCTTGTTGCACTGTCGATGTTAATCTGAAAAATGAAATTATAGGGTAAGCACAATGGAATCTGGATGCCTGCAACAGAATGCTCTAACTTACTACCCTCCCTTTCAGTGTAACAGGATAGTTTTGGGTGCAGTATTCTAAGGTATCTAAAAGGACTTTCAGGCAATGAAGTATTTGCTCTTTTTAGAAGTAAAAATCTGCCTTTAGCATCCAAGAGCAATAAAGAAAGCATGGAGTCCAAGGCCAGGGAACTCTACAAACCACTGCTTATCTGGGGGATGCCTGTGGTTTGTTAGCGGTAGTCTGCAAACGTGGACGTTTATGAACTGGAGGACTCTTTTTAAAGAGAAACAGAAGTCGGTGGCTGCTTTCAATTTTACCTTCCTTAATTGTCACAAATGCTGTGTTAGCCAAACAAGCCCTGAAATGGGAAGCAAGTGAGGAGAAGTGAAGAAACAGAGAGCGGAAGTGGTTATCTCAGAAGACTAAAAATTTCCAGAAGGGTTTGTGGGAATAGTTGAATAATATAGGGATATGGTTTCCTCCTTCCATGCATTTAACATAATTTTTGATTGTCTCTCTGTCAGGAATCGCAAGGGTAGGCAGCATAAGTGACAGCGGTAGCAGCCACAAGGATGTCAGCTTATGTTGGTTTATGCTGGAGTGCTGTGGCACACAGGACCAACACTACCAGGGAGTTTATGCTGCCAGAGAATTCTTCCAATGACCCATTGGTTCTTTTTAACTTTGCTGGGAATTAAGATAAACCAACGGGTTCTTGATTTTGGATTAAATAGTTCACCTTAAAATCCTAATGCAGTTTTTGGTTGTAAGCCTAGCCTTTAATGACTGAGCCATCTGTAGCCTGTTATGGCTACAAAAGCAGGGGTTGAGTGAGGGTCTGGTTCCTTTATTCCTAAATTATTAGAAGTGAAGCCTTTGAGTTAAGTTTACCCTTTCAATAATAACTAGAATAAAATAAAATAAAAATAGCTGCATAAGGCAACTGTATTGTAATTATGCCGTCTCATGAAAGCACTCCTCAGAATACTTTAAGTGCTAAAGCTGTCTTGGGTAAAAACTGGTCTCTGTTCTCTTAGACTAGCCCTAAATGATTTTGGTGAACTGGTCTCTGGATCACCCACAAACTCCTATAGAACATGACCGTGAGCTGAGGGTTGCCTGCCCTTTAACTGTTATCTCTCCACTTTTAAAACACTCCTTGCTTGTCTCAGATGACTTCTGCCTGTTCACTGGATGCAAATGAGAATGTGACTCCTCCAAGGTACAGTTGAGGAGGAGGTTTTTATTGTAGATAGGAGAGAGAGAAGAGTCAGAGGCATTTGGAAGGATCCGTATGAAACCAGGCCATTGGGGAGGGTGGGGAGGATGGGAGCAAGAGAGGAAGACAAGAGAGAGGAGAGAAGACCAAGAGAGGAGCCTAGGACTAAGAGGACAAAAAAACCCTGGCCCAAATTGATGGTTTTATAGAAATCAGAAGCTGGGGGAAGGAAATCAAGTTCCCTGGGCTGGAGAGGTTTTAGGGTAGGAGTGGGGCTGTATTAGACAGCTGAGAGGAGCCAGGATGCTCTGTCACCTCACAGGTACTTAAGAATTCCTTTATGCTAATATGTACCACATTAGCATATTAGCATATTTAAATATACTAATAGTCATCACAATTAACCATTTGTCCTGAGTTTCTTTGGGACCTGACAATCACAATTTTATTATTTATTTTTGGTTTTTTATTTATATATTTGTCCTTAAAAGCTGGAACAAACTAGTGATCAGGGGCTGCTTCCTGATAACCTGCTTGGGACAATGAATAAAGATTCCATTGAACTTAAAAAAAACCCAAAAACCAAAAACCAAAACATCCTAATGTAGTAGGATTAATGATAGTTCCACACAGGAGGAATTCATGAAGTTCATTAAGTTATCTAACTCTTATGCTTTGTGACAGAAAAATAAGATTAGTAATCCTTTTTTTCCAAGACAGGGTTTCTCTGTGTATCCCTAGCTATCTAGGAACTCACTCTGTAGATCAGGCTGGCTTTGAACTCACAGAAATCTGTCTATCTCTGCTTCCTGAGTGCCGGGATTAAAGGCATGCACCGTCACCACCTGACTGATTAGTAATTCTTAGTTTATGCAATTTTTAGGAGATATTGGGATTGAATATGTTTGTCATGTAATGATGCTTGAGTTATTAGTGTCTTCTAAGGGATACCCCAATGCCATGTCTGATCCTTGTTACCTCTCTAGGGGACTGTGGCTCGATGTAGATACTATAAAGTTTCTTTGCCCTAGAAATTCTGCTCCTCCTCGAGGCAATTTTCTTGTAGGTTTCACATGCCATCCAGAATTTAATGTTCTCGTCACTGTGCTCTAGTTTTAAATACGCTGTGTACACTATTGGACCATCTGAAAGCAGAGAAATGTGATCAGTTTCATGGGTTAACAGTTATCAAACATTTAAGCAACAATTCATACTGTTTAATACAGAAACCTGAAGAAGAACCCCAAAGATACAGAAAAGTAAGACTATTAACCACACACTCAGGTCTCTTCTCATCTAAAGCATGTTTAGCAATGCCACTAGTTGGTGAAGGTACCCCTTTGTTCTGAGTCACTCAGTGGATGTGCCTATGACAGAAAGGCCAGGAGATGTCATAAGAACCCACACAAATGGCTTAAGCTACACTGGCTGGCAGAGCTCTCCCAAATAAAGTTACATAACATATTTAAGACCTCACAGCAAACTGATAGGTGAGAACTAGGTTAAGAATCTGGCAAGGCAGGGGTGGGAGGAAAGTATCCAAGCTATGTATGAGTGATACTTTGATGAGGCAGAGTTGGCGGGAGTGTTTCTCAGTGTCCAATCAGCAGGAGAACAGGAAGATGAAGAATTGAACATCATACTCATGGTTTATGGTTCAAACCAGAAATAAGGACCAAGTAAGGAATGGAATCCAGAGGGATGTTGGACATCTTCTCAGAACCTAACACAGGGCCATGTGTTGTGCCAAATGTAACCATCCAATGACACCTGCTGCTTAGATGGTTATCTTAAGCTCTGGTCTTGAACAGCCCCTGGGGTACATTGATGAGCAGAGTGGAAGGACTTTTATTAAGGCTCCATTTTTCAGGAGCTTGTGCTCATAGATTAGACATGCTCCCAAGTGTTTAACTTGTTACTCATCATCCCTGGGAGTGTCAAGCAGTCTCAAGGTTTGAGACAAATACTTTGAGATTGCCACTCAACTTTCGGTGACTGTGAAGTCCTTTGTCGTATCTGAGACATTTAATTGCTAAATGATAAAATGACGAAGTAACTTTCCATTGATGTTAGTAGAAATGTGTTTAGTCAGACTGAATGCAAGACCACTGACAGACTGACTGTGTGAATTTTTTCTTTTACAAAGTGCGCTATTGATGTTTACAAGTTGATGAGTTTCAAGGTCAGTACCTGCCCAGGAAACTGTTACCACAAGTTGTGCCACCAGTGCCCAATTCTAAGTATAGAATTTAGCTAACAAAATTTTTAATTGGCATCATTAAAAAGTTATGATTGAATGGAATAGAAGTGGCGAATAAAGTCATATTTTCCTGCATCTTCATAGGAGACATTATTGGATCAATTTCCTAGCACTAGAAAGTCAGAAAATCCCTTGATCTTCACATTGTATTAGTAGTAATATAGGAAGATAGACAACATTCTATATTCAAGGAAAATGACATAGATAGAAGTAAATACCACTTATAAAAAAACATCAGGGTTGGTGAAGACTGGTAATCTGCAAGAAATATGGCATCCAGGGGATGCACAGACCTGAAGCATAGCTCACTGTGATGTGGGCAGTCAACCCACAGTGAATGAGAGAGGTTTGAAAGAAACTTCCTCTTGACTGGGAGCACAGATCAGATGAGGGTACAGCACATACAGATATGTAGCCTACGAAGTGACATTGGTTACATATTACTACCCAGTACGAAATACATTATAACTTATATTTCATGCAAGACATTTATTTTCCTGCTGACATGACTTTGGGATGGCCCTTGCCTTGCTATAAGCACTGAAAATCGGGAGCAGAAAACACAGTTGTAGTTATTAGCTCTCCTGCTAGAGAAATAGCCAAAGCTGTGGACAAAGTTAAAAACAAAACAAAAAGCCATTACTACTCTGACAAGACAAATTGAAAGCCCCAAATTTCCAATATGCACTGAAATTTATTAAAAATGAAGGAATTTATATAGTTGATATTTAGAGGAATTTTGACTGAAGACTTAGGGATAGAAAGCAAGGGCTTCGAAATAGTGAAATAAGCTATAAATCAGAAAATAGAGATTGGTGAAGTCCACAGGTCACTTAAGAGATGATCCCTGACAAGTTGGATGGTTAGGTAGATGGGTGGGTGGTATGGGGGTGGGAATACAGTCTGGAAACCCTTATTAGGTTGTATATTATATCTGAATTTGTATTTGCCATATAAATTCTTGCTCCAGAACCCAACTGTACCTACTCCTGCCTTCCCTAGCTTCTTATGTAAGAGATGAATAAATACCTTTTTTTCTTTAGCTGGAATAATGGTTTCACAACTGCTAATGTAACCATTTCCTAAATTATGTTATTCTATATGTGATAGATGTAACACACAGGTATTTGCTGCAGTAGTACCTATTTGATTCTCAGTGATTTCCTGGTCCTCTAAGAGGTGCACATTTCCGCACCCCACTTACCTCTGCACTGGCCACTGGATTTGTGCTGGTCAGTGAGAGTCAGGCAAAAGTGAGTTGTAAGGTGGAAGCTGTGGCTCTTTTCTCCGCTTGTCATGTGGGGAATAAATCTAGAAGAAATCTGATCTTTTAGCCTAATGCCAGAACTACGACATGGAACAGAGTTGAAACTGACCTCAGTTGCCATATATCATGAATGAAAAGAGAGCCTTCTTATAATCAACTAGGAATTTTATGGTACTTATTATTGCATCATAATTTTGCAAAAGTTGACCCAGAGTAGTGGAACCTATATAGTATTTCAGACATGACTCTAGTGTGCAGAGTAACTAGGCTTACACAATTGGTTTATTTTATAGATATTTGTGTACACCAGATTAGTTTTTGTCTGAGAATACTAACTAGGTACTTAAGCAAGCAGCTGGAAAAGTATCTGTGTGAAAAAATTTCTGGAATCTTAGTAGATGTTAAGTACAAAATTGAACTGCTGAGTTTATAGTTGTATTGAATCATACTACAAGTGAATTACAAGGTGAAATGTTTTCCTAAATTAGGTGGTGGAGCCCCAAATAGTCCATTTTGAAGTTTCAAATGATGCTCAGGAGACTCAATGGTGCTTACTGAATGAAAGATAAAGACCAGGACTGCTCATTTGAGAGGATGAGAAAATCAGTTTGTGTCATATGTTGTGAATGTGTTCTCCTCTCAAAATGTGAGTGGTAGCATTCATAATCTCTGTATTGCTTTTTAAAAAGTAGTCAGCGAGATGAGTATGTTTCCGACACACAAAGTGACGTGCCACAGTTATCTTGATGGGGAAGGAACATATTGAGTATTTTTAGCTGAGTCAGTATAATGCCCTATCTTTCCCAAATCATGCTTCCTGTGCAAGGCAAGTCTTAACCATTCATTAAATCTTGCAGGTGAGCTGTGGCCATTAGTACAAATTGAAATACGTGTGAACTAATTTTAAACTCATGTACTTTCATTCTGCACCACTAGGAATATAGAGGTTTATAATTCTACTAGGAGTTCTATAAGCACTTGTAGTAAATCTTCTGTTTTATTAAAATTTGTGTTTTGTAGTTAGAGTTTTCCTGACTTTTCTATTCTTTTTATGTGTTAATGACACTGTTATACTGTTGAATTATTTTCTGTTATTTGCAGGTTATTTTGAGGTATGTTTGTAACCATCTTATATGAGAAACCTTCAGCCAGTCTACCAAATGTTCCTTTCAGTATTGTTAGGAATTTCATTAGAGGAACAGTGTTTTTAAAAGTCTGGTCATATTATACCCTACCAACACCTTTCCATAGCTCAAATGAACAAGGCCATAGCTTTTGACTGCACTTGCCAGACTCACTGGGCAGAGACTCTACCCTCATACCCATCTGTATTCACTCCTAAATGTAATGCCTGAGCCATGTTCAGACATACTTTTCTAAACACACTTCATGGTTATGTGATGTGTCATTCATTTATATAGTTTATTTCCTGTGTTGTGCTTTATACCTTGACCTGAGACTTGGCTTATGGATCACAAATACTGGAAAAAGTTCTCTGAACTCCCCTGGTTGCCTAAATATGTACTGTTAGTTGGTAAACAGTCATAGTATAGGGAGGATCTATAACTGCAATAAATATATTATGCTCTATTATATTTGTTGATTTCTTCCAATTGTTCTCCCATTCCATGAGAAGCTATAAGAGTCAGCACTGCAGGCTATTGATCACTGTATATACAGTTTCTATACACTGGTAAATGGCAGCTGCTGGTGGATAGACGTTTTATAACCTAGACTGCTGTATCCTTCATGCTTCTACATTTTAAAGGACTCTCTTATAAGTCTTAAGAAGTGAAGCAGGCTCTAATCATTCCCCATACAGGAGGTACTGAATACTGGAGGATTATAACAGTATACCATGGCTTTTCATTTTCTGACAGTGGGGGAAAAGTGCAGCTGAATTGCAATGTCTAAAAAAGGTCATTTCTTTTTTCAACCTGCCAGGATAAAACAGTGCATGAGAAACTGGAGAAGACAGAAAGTGCTAAATGTAACTCAGCTGAGGCGAGGTTGTACAGTAATGTAAGGTGTGATGGGGTAACCACGGCAACAGCAGTGGTTAGCAGGGATTAGGATAATTGACAGCATAGGAAGCTGCCAATCCTTAGTGGGAGGCAGGGGATCTCTCACAGATGGAGAGAGCTGAGACAATGCACAGGAGGGAGCACCAAGATCCATCAGTGGCTTCTCCTGTCAGCTCTGTGCCACTGAAACAATAAAGATGCTCCACCAGCCGGGTGCTTCATCAGGATAGAGCGATCTCAGTGCTTTGAGCAGCTCGCCAGCCCTACACTGTTAAATCCAGAGGTTTTAAGATTGTCTACCTGCTATTATGATAATTTACAAGAGCGAGTATAAAATACATTTAAGTATAATTCGGACCCAATGCAAAGGATTAATGCCAGCTCTTACTTAGAACCCCTGCCTTTTCAGAATGTTGTTGGTGAACCAGCTGAACAGGACACAGGAAAGCCCACAGATTTCACTGTAAATTTTAAATGATCTATCAGAAATGTATACTTGTCAACTGTTGTTTCCTTGATATCATAGCCCTAGAATTTTCCAGAAGAGCTATTTTGATTCCTTTTTTGTACTGGCTAAATCTTTTCTAGAAGGGT